GTGCGGGAGGGCCGGGTGCGGGCCACGCTCTTCCTGCCGCCAGGTGAGCTGCCTCTGTCCCCTCTGTTCTGGCCTGTGACATTTCTCCCTTTTCTCTTACATCTGGACTCTCCATGGGACCCTTAGAGTCGTTAATGAGTTTGTTGTTTTGTTGTTGTTCATGGCTTGATTACTACTCCGATCAGTCAGACGTCTCTAAATGTCTATCAGTTCCAGAATGGAATTGTGGTATATTTACACTTTGAGATGATCTGCAGCTGTCAGTGTGTGTCGATGTGTGTACTAAAGTGGGCAGAGGTAACATTCTCTGAGATGTGTTCCTCTGTGATAGCAGCAAGTTGCAGAAAGCTATATAATATGATTTCACTTTCTTTGTAAACAAGAGTATCTGTGTATATTGGAGTGTATGCACGTACAAACAAAAAGTTGGCATATAAAGCAATTCGAAAACTAGACTCAAGGAAATAAGGAGTAAGCCAAGATATCACAAGATACTAAGACTTTGTATTAAACCCCAGAGATTAAAATGCGTTCATATAGAAATGGACAAATAGAGCAGTAATACAGACTAGATACTTCCTAAATTGATATATGCACATATGGAAGTTTGGAATATGATAAAGGGGAGAGTATAAGTTATTGGGGAATAGTCGTTGTATTGGAATAAGTCACACATGTGTAAATACCGAATAGTTTCTCTGGTGTGAAAAACTATAATAGTATGTAAGATCCTAATGATATAATTGACAATGTGAAATAGGAAGAAAAGGGCTAAAGGTGTAGGGAAAGTGGGAAGGGTAGGGGAAAGGTAATAAGGGAAAAGAAAAAAATATGAGAAAATGGAAATAAAGTGTTTGTAAATGGGGAGGATAGGAGGGAGTGAAGGGAGGGCAGGGACAAGGGGAAAAAATGAGAACCAAGACCTGTCATGTAAAGGTACAGGATCCCAATGATTACTGTAACTGTACTGTATAGCTAAAATGTACCAATAAACTCAATGAAAGAAAAAAAAAGTAGTTGTATTGGATATTTATTTAGATCCCTACCTCATCACATATACAAAAATGAGTTCCACATTGATGAAAAGACCTATATGTGGGGCCCGGGATTTAGCTCAGTGGTTCCACCACCTTCCTCACAAGCCCAAGGACCCGAGTTCAATCCCTGGTACCAAAAAAAAAAAAAGACCTATTTGTGAAAAAACTTTAAAACTATCAGGAAATAAAATGTGAGTATCTTTATAACCTCAGTGCCAGGAAGGTGTCAAACATCGAAAACACAAATTATAAAGAAAATAGAAAGGGCCGCGGATTTAGCTCAGTGGTTTGGTGGCCTGCCTTGCAAGTGCAAAGACCCGAGTTCAATCCCTGGTACCAAAAAAAAAAAGAAAAGAAAATAGAAAAACATCAGTGAGATAAACAATATAGACAAAATTAAAAGTTAAGCAACAAAAATATTTACAATACACACAATGATCAGGTTCCAAAAAAGAAAGCTTGAAAAACCCAGTAAACAGATCAACTCCATAAAAACATACAAAAGACATAAGAACCAAATCTTTAAAAACAGAAAAAGAATGTCAGTAAACATGAAAATTCTCAACTCTTTAGTGATCTTAGAAATATACACCTTAAAAGTATTACAGAATGTCTTCCATGCCCTTTAAAGGCAAACATTAAAGAAAACTGTTTCTTGAGTGTTTGTGAAAATGTAGTAAAACAGTAACAGTCCACACACTGTTGGAGTATAATTCAGTAAAACAACTTTGAGAAAAAATGTTGGGTGTTCTCAGTAAAAATTGAAAGGTGCATACTATATAAATAACCTAGCTGTGGAACTTGTGTATGTAGACCTGGAAAAATACTTATACATGGCATTCACAAGATGTTTATAGCTTGATGTTTCTAGCTTATTTATAGGGTGATAAGTTATAACAACCTTAATGGTTATCCAAAAAGCAGATATATGGTACTCTATTAGTGAATACAGTATCAATGATACAGATAAGCCCTCCCTCCCCTGCCCATTTGGAAAGAAAAAATAAAATCCTGAGTCACTTAAATTTTTACTTCATTTACACATCTGGGAATTAGTGACAGCAGGTATAGTTGAAATGTGGGTAGAGTTTAATTATTTTGATAACAATCTTAAAAATACTAAGCCTTGACAAAGAATTGTCCAGACACTGCCCAAGAAAGTCAGGTTATATCCTAGAAGTTGCCACAAAGACAACATGATTATACATGGAAGCTCAATCAAAAGTTTGAGTTGCAAGCACAAAAAAATAAATAAATAAGGATTTTGAGTTACTTATTGTGAGGGGTTGGGCTCAGGAAGCCAACTGACCAGAAGACTGATGAATCTGAACAAGAACTGAGAGGATCTAAAGAGAGGCTGCACTAGGAACCTTAGCCAGGGTCACAGCACGACACCCTAGAACATCATTAATGCTGTGGACTCAATACCAACATTGCTGACCTCTGTAAATTCCAAAGCATTCTTACCTCTCTGAATAACTTATAGGAATAAGCCTGGGTCACAAGGGGAGGGAGGATCTCCCAAATTGGTTTTTTTAGTGGAAGGCCCTGGTCACACTAATACAAATAAGGAAAGGAAAGGATGCTTAGCACTCCCAAAGAGGGCCTCAAATGAATGAGTCAGATTCCAAATCAGTTGAAGACTAGATCTGTGTTTTTATTTCTTTCAAAGGACTGGGACCCTTTTCTGGGATCATGGACCTTTTTGGAGTTGGAGGAGGCCTTCTAGAGTATCGAGCTAGTCTGCTGGCTGGGAAGGGCTTTGCTGTGATGGCTCTGGCTTATTATAACTATGACGACCTCCCCCAGGACATAAAGATACTACATTTGGAATACTTTGAAGAAGCCATGAATTACCTGCTCCAGCACCCTCAGGTTGTCTGTTCTTTTCCTCTTTTAGTTTAAACATCAAGTTCCTAAATACACCCCCTAGCCAAAGTAAGACTGATTTTCAGCTGAGTTGCCTGAGCATGCTCTGTGGCAAAATCAAATATCAGGTTTCTTCTAAATCAGAGAAAATTTCATTTCTAGCTAGGATGATCTCACAGAGCATTTAAGAGAATCAGTGAAGCAGCCAAGATTTGAATCTCAGACAGAGCGACAGAGCATCCTGGTTTGTCTAGATAGAGGGTTTCTGAGGCACAGGTCTTTTGTACTAAGTCTGGGACAGGGAAAGCGGGAGTGTTGGTCATCTTGGTAGCATCATTGCTTTGTAGGTATGAATTTGTATCTGGATCCAGGTTTGTTATGAAAGTTAAATGAATCACACATGTGAGGCCCTTGAAACAGGTGTAACATTTAATGACCAACATATATTCATTCATTAGCAAACACTAGAGGATTCAGGTGTAGTGAACACAGAATGAGAAGGACAAGTTCATGTCCACGTGAGCTTAGAATACAGAGAGGACTGGGGGAAAAGGAATCTTAACAATCTAAGTGCTAACAAGTCAATTAATAGGACACTGATGCAGAATAGAGGAGAAGCCTCATTTAGCAAAGATAGAAGAGCTAAATAGTACTACCCCTACTACTAATCCTAAATACTACTAACTAGATCATCTAACCAATATTTTTTCAACATCTTTTGATGATATCAACATCTTTTGATATCTGCTGCCACTAACTATTAGAAACAAAATAAATACAGAAGGAATAGTAATGACATAGACATTGTCAAACAGGCTTACATTGATACTTCAGCTCTTTGTTTTTGGTCCCGGGGATCGGACTCAGAACCTTGTGCTTGCAAGGCAAGCAGTGGAACCACCGAGCTAAATCCCCAGCCCTTCAGCTTTTTAATATATAATTGTTTATAAGCTTATACTGCATGTATCTGCTAGGTAACTACCTCAAGACATTTTTTGAACAAGTATTAATTTTATGAAGAAAACCTTTAACACAGGCCTTTTCTTCCCTAGTAGTACTTACATGTTCATCTTAGAATCTTACTCAAGTGAAATGTTACCTTAATCTTCCTCAGATTCCAATAGATTTATGTGAGCACAGCACTCACTGAGGAATAAAATTACTGGAGACTAAGTAGCCAACACTTTGGATTTAAGTACTTCTTGACAGGCATCATGCCAAGTACTTACATGTGGTTTCTCATTCGACCTTCACATAGACTTCATGGCATAGGGGCAAACCCCTCATTTCACTGCTAAGGAAACTGAACTTTACAGAGGTTTCATCAGTCTTTTAAAGCTAGAGTACTGATAGAGTCAGATTCAGGGTCAGGTCCATCCGACCTCCAAGATGAGCACTACTCACTGTAATACCTTCTTTGTAGACTCATTCTCCTTCGGTTTTGTCCCTTTTCAGGTAAAGGGTCCAGGAGTTGGAGTGCTTGGAATTTCCAAAGGGGGTGAATTAGGCCTTGCTATGGCCTCTTTCCTGAAGGGAATCACAGCTGCTGTCATAATCAATGGCCCCATGGTCAGTGTTGGGGGAACTATATGCCACAAGAATGAGATTATACCCCCTGTGGGCATCAACAGCAAGAGAGTCAAGATGACCAAAGATGGCATCATGGACATTGTGGATGCCCTGAACAGCCCTTTGGAAGGACCTGACCAGAAGAGCTTCATTCCTGTGGAAAGGTCTGACACCACCTTCCTGTTCCTTGTAGGTCTGGATGACCACAACTGGAAGAGTGAGTTCTATGCTAATGAGGCCTCCAAGCGCTTACAGGCCCATGGGAAGAAAAAGCCCCAGATCATCTGTTACCCAGAAACTGGGCACTACATTGAGCCTCCTTACTTCCCCTTGTGCCGAGCTTCTCTGCACACCTTGGTGGGTAGTCCTGTAATCTGGGGAGGGGAACCCAGGGCTCATGCCATGGCCCAGGTGGATGCATGGAAACAACTCCAGAGTTTCTTCCACAAACACTTGGGTGATAAAGAGGGAACCATCCCAGCAAAACTGTAATTTTTGTGTGATAGTATAGCATCTGTGATGCTGATCTCTCCTGGAAACAGCTGCTACAATTACTGCGTGTATATGTATTTTTCTTTTTAACTGCTCAGAGACTTTTCCTCAAAGATGTTTATCTACTCCTGAGGGGAATGATTCTACACAAAGCATAAGCAGTGGAAAAGGCTTATCTATTAATATCATATGTCATGCAACTGACAGGCTTTCACTCTAGAAAAAAAAAAAGAAAAATGAATACTACTCATTAATACCTCCTGCTACACAACTGGAATTTAATTATTAGCTAAATGACTGCTAGTTAATAAATAAATTATTGACTGCTGTGTAAGAAAAGCATATATAGTGGCCCTTCTTGTCTCCACAATGTACATTCAGCCAACTCCACTTTTAAAATATTTGGAAAAAAAAATTGTGTCTGAACTGAACACATACAGATGTTTTTCCTGTCATTCTATCCTAAACAATACAATGTAACAACTCTTTACACTGGATAAGGTAAGTAAATAATCCAGGTGTGATTTTAAAGTATGTGAAAAAATAACTGCTGGCTATATGACAAATACCATGCCATTTTACATAAGGGACTTGGCATCTTCAGATCTTGGTTTCTGCAAGGGTCGTGCAATCTGTTCTTTCTCCTGCAACCTGTCCAAGGATGCCAACAGATGATTTTATATCAAAATGGTCACTATATCAGATTTGAATTTCTTCTTTTAGAATTTTAGAATAGAATAGAGGTAACACCTTTGCTATGAACTGGTTAATAGATATAAACTAGTTAAAATTGTCAAAGCAAATACATTTTTAGTTCTTTCCTGTCTTCTTGGATGAATATGGATTCTTCTAGCAAAAAATTGTTAGGTTTCTGTTAATACATAGGAACCCTTATGATTTTGTTGTTTCAAAACCTGGTGCCACATTATTTAGATGAATTGCATAAGGATTACCACACTACAAACATGAAAGTAAATAGCAACATGATTTTTCTATCACTTGATGTAAATAGTTCTGCCATAAATTGAGTAAGCTTTTCTTAAACCTTAATTGTAGTTCAGATAAAAGTGCCTCAATTAGTGGTTATTGTGTTGTTTCCTCAATTTTCTTTTTGTAAGAAGGCAATTCTCAGCAGGTGTTTTCCTTCAAACTCAAAAACAGTATGTTGCTCTTTTTATTATGTCAGCTTTTCTCACATACTCATACAGCATGTGCTTGTCATGGAATCCTCACCGATCTGTGAGGCAGTGTCCTCTTCACTTGCTAGATGAAACATCCAGCTCACAGAGGTATTCCTCATACAGTCAGTGCAGAGCTGGGGCAAATCTAGTCACTTCTCTTGGTACTGTGGTGTGTTCACCTTGTCTGTGGATTTTCATTTCCTTTAGTCACAGAGCCATTGGTCCATCAATTTTGGCCGCTTCTTGACCAACCAGCAGAATGCACCCCTGCCTGCATTCACATTCACGCACCATGTTATGTCATTTTGGTGGTGTCATGAATTCCCTAGAGCCCTCTGTGCTGTCTGCAGGACAAAGCCCCAGCCAAGGGAAAAGAAATGCATCTTCATTCACCCATACAGGCTTATGATAGAGTTCCTAGATTTGGAGTGGACAGAGGCAGGTGATATTTTATGGCACCATGTATTAAAAATACCTAAAACAGCTTTGCAACCATGTTTAAGCCCTGGCCTCGATGCAGCAGTTGAGTTTGGGGAGAGGTATATGGATGACCACAAACTGCCTACACCCTCTGTTTTCTTTGTTCTTTCTTTGTTTCTTTCTTTCCTTTGTTATGAGTTGTCCTTCCTTTCCTCTCTCCTCTTCCTTCTTTCTTTCCCATATACCAATCAGCTCAGCATTGGAAATTTGGGGTGTATTAATAATCAAATCATGTAGGCTACGTATGTGGAAAGATTCAAAGATGATTTGAAGCCTTTTAGGTAGAAGGAGATAAGAAGAGATAAGTAGAGGCACCATCAAAATGCCACAGAGAGGTTTTATGGAAGGAAGAAAAAAATTCTAAACTACTGGGGCAAGGATTACAAAAAAATTCAGATACATGCTTGCATTTGAAATATGTGCTTAAAAATGGAGAGGACATCATTTTACTGAATCTAAAGTGATAAAAAGTTCATAGTAAATTTGGACAATGGAAAAATTATTCAGTAGAAAATGAGGTACATACAATTCCATCACCTAGAAACCAGTGTGTCCTTAACAATTTCACATTTTTTTCTATTTTCCCCTAGGCTATTATATATATTAGAAAATGGATTCTACTGTATGTACTGAACATTTTATTGTGTACTATATTCTTTATACATGAATTTTTAAAAACTATGGCTTATATTCTACAGATTGCTATTACTATCCTTCATTAAGCCAATCATCTATTTTAGGGGCCTTGACATTTTTTATGTACTTTCATCTCAAAGTATAGTGCTATAGTGAAGGTACTTGTCTACAGATTATTTTGTGTACATGTTTTGTTTTGTTTTGTTTGAGGCAGGGGGGTCTTCCTTTGTAGTTCAGGTTGGCCTTGAACTCACTATGTAGTCCAGGCTGGCCTTGAACTTGTGGCAATCCTTCTGCCTCAGCCTCCCAAGTGTTGGGATTACAGGCATGTGCCACCACTCCTGGCTCATAACTGCTTATTTTTAAAACAGATATTTTTGCAATAAAATTACTGTGTTAAAGAATTTAAATAGTAGTATGATTCTGTAGTATATATACCGGGAATGATCAGTTCTACAATATCTGAATCACTGGATGTAATAGCCCTGTTCTGCTTTGTACCTTTGCCACCGTGTAAACAGTAGAATGTGAATACATATGTGTGTCTGGAATCCCCTTATTTTTCCACATTTTATGAGACATAAAGAGCATCTCACTGGATAGCTTTTGTTGCTGTTATAATAATGTTGAATATTATCCCCCTCCTCTTTTTTTTGGTGCTGGGGATTAAACTTAAGCCATCCTGCATGCTAAGCATGTGCTATACTACTGAGCTACATCCCCAGCCCATATTTTCCCTTCTGACTGGGAAAATATGTTTGTCCTTTTAAAACTCTCTATCCCATTCTTTACTCATGTATTTCATATTGACTTATAGCAGCATTTCATTATTAAGGAAATAAATCCTTATAAACATTGGCCACTATATCAGTTTGTTATTTTTCATTTAAATTCTACATAATGTATTTTGTTAGGTTTTACAAGATAGAGTTGATGGTAGAAGCATTTTGAGAAGTGGAAAGGGTAGGCTTAGAGACGCGGTGATGGAAATACTCAAGTGTGTTCAAGTATACTTAGCCCACAGTAGAACATGCATATATATAAAATAACACAGCGGTAAAATTACAAAGATAGGAGCATCTAGCTGATAGGTGGCCTTAAAAGTATTTAACTGGACAAGCACAGTAATGATTTAAAGTTTTGTAACAGGGTGGGTGAAGTAATTTATACTTGCATCTTAGAAAAGTACTGCAAAAGCAAAGGATTCTTTGGCCTGGTGGAAAAATAGACATTTTCTTTTTTACACTTCACAGGACCCTATAATTTCTTGATACTTTCTTGTCAGACCCAAGAGATGTAAAGGAGGACTGCTTCCCTTCCTGACAGAGGTTTCCTTCTGCACAGCTCCTCAAGGCCCATCCTGCATTGACATGGAGATGGGCAACCACTAACCAAGCCTGTGGGAATGAAGGTCACCCTTATGAAACAATACTAGTGTGGCAGAATCAATGAGGGTGCACTTATCTGGCTGACACATCTGCCCTAAATTATATCCTAGAAAACTAATGAGTATATCCCCTGGTAGTTTTGATCTCCACGATGGGTCATTTGAGGATTTCCAGGTACCTTCATGACACAGACACAAATAGGTTTTAGTCATTGTTTTCAGTTTCTCCCTGTTAGTTGAAGCATAGCCTTGTAGACAAACCATTACCTCAACACTAGATGAGGTCCTTTTAGAAAAGTAATCCTGCCGGGCGTGGTGGCACACGCCTGTAATCCCAGCACTTAGGAGACGGAGGCAGGAGGATCGCTGTGAGTTCGAGACCAGCCTGGGCTACATAGTGAGTTCCAGGTGAGTCTCAACTACATAGTGAGACCCTGTCTCAAAAAAAAAAAGAAAAGAAAAGTAATCCTTACCTAGGGTGATCCCTCTAGCTCCACAGCAGCCAAAGAACCTATTCAAATTAAATGCTCCATGACTGGTCTTACAACATGTCTTGTGCTTACCATCCCCAGTTCTCTGGCCTAGTGTACCAAAGTGCTCTCAAATTCCAATTCACAAAATTTACGCAAACTTTCCATTTGCCCTGGCCAAGGGACCTATTTATAGTCCTTTTGAACCTAAGAGCCACTCTCTTTAATTAAAATAATTAAAGGCTTCCCCATGCATTTGCCCCTGATTTCCTTTCATCCGAAATTAGTAAAAAAATCATACAATTCAGTACTGTAAAGGTAAATTTAATGCTATGAATAAGAATTATATCCCAGTAGGACAACGATTCCATAGTACTCTACCAGGAGAGAAAGATCTGAAACACCATAACGTATAACCAGGAGATTTTTGCCTACTGAAACAGACATTTACAGAGGGAATCCCTCCAATTGTACAAGAAAGGCACATTCCAGATCTTGTTGACCAACCCTTGTGCTTTCAAGCTTAAAGGAATTGATTCCTGGATAAATGTATCCTGGGTAAAGAAAACAGCTGCTAATTGAATCTGTCCATCTGTTGATGGATTAAAACAAATTTTCTAGGGACTGAGGCACATGGTATATGTGGTAGATAGATTTCCTATGATGACCAGACTGGGCCTATCTACCCTTTTCTTGTTTCTACATTTACTTTGCTCGCTCTTTTTTCCCTGCAAGAACAATATCCTAGTCTGCATTTCCCAGTCCATCACTAAAGGGGGAAACTTACAAACTGTTGGATCTGCTACCACAACCCTGATCAATCTGTGACTTTAGTGACTCCCGAATTCAACCTGTAACAAATTTCACTGACATTCTAGACTTCACCACCTATACAAATTCTATTTCTGGAACCTCCTTTAAAGTAAACTTTCTCATCTACCCTGAACTTATGTCTTCTGACTTAGTTTCTTACAGCATTAGTCTCCAAACTGGGCCCCAGTACTATTAAATAAATCATTCCCTCCAAACCATTCCTTGTGTCTCCATACCAGAAATAAAAAATTATTGGGACTGATTTCAAGAGAAAGGGCTACTAACAACATTTATTAACATAACTGACCCCAGCTTTGCTTCCTGGCTGCCACCAGAGACAGTTTTCCTCCTCCAAGCCCCTCTGCCATCCTGTTTCTGTCTTGAAGCCAGCTGACTGGACTGAAACTGTCCACAGCCCGGTCTTGAGATGATGGGACTGTGAAATGGGCGCGGAAGCATAAAGTCTCCACCTCTCCTGCTGGCTGCCCTGGTGCCCTGCGTCATTATTTTAAGCTTCAACTATTGGATTGCCAGCTCTCCGAGTGTGGATCTCCAGACATGAATCCTTGAGCTGGAAGTCAGGGTCCAAAGGGCAGCCACCGAGAGAGGTGCCATTGAGCTGATAAAGAACGAGTTCCAGGGAGAGCTGGAGAAGCAGTGAGAATAGCTGGACAAGATCTAGTCCAGCCACAGATTCCAGCTGGAGAGCATCAACAAGCTGTACCAGGATGAGAAGGGTGCATGAGTGAACAACATTATCACAAGTAAGAGGATCATCAGAGACCTGCAAGACCAGCTGAAGGCCCTGCAGAGGTGTTATGGCAGGCTGAGGAGGATATATTCAGTTCCAGAGGAACCAGGCCAACCTAGAGAGGAAGTTCTCCTATGACCGGAACCAGTGTATCAACCAGATGAAAGAGGAGAAGAAGCAGTGTGGAGAGTGAATAGAAGAGGTCACCAGGGAAAATGAAGCTGCAGCTTCCAGAAGCCTGAGTGAAAGAAACAACCACATCAGCTGGCTCCCAATGAGTCCCAGCCCAGACCACAGGGGACAGGCTTGCCACTGGCAACAGTGCCACAATCTAAAGGAAACGTGTCCAGCAAGGGCAGATCCCAGACAGCAGACCCTCCTTCTGAAGTGGTTTTGGATTTGAAAGGAGGAAAACAGCAGAAGCTGGGAGATGATGATGACTACAACATGGGTGGAAATGAGGTGGAATCTGAAACAGAAAAGCAGGCAGCCCCTGCTGGGAGCAACAGAAACTTAAATGCTAAGTTTTTAATGCTGAGAAGAGAGATATCAGCAAGATAAGCAGAATCATACACTCTGAATCAAACTGGTGTTGTGTACTTCGTGTCAGGACTGAACAGATCACTACAAACTATTCCTGACTGACTGAGTACCCAAAGCTGTGAAATGTACTAAGTAAACTGTACATCTAAAGATGACTGTGTGAGTTTAGTATGAATTTTATGTATGAAAACTGGGACAGTTTTTCAGGGGCACTTTTTGTCTATAGCAGGATGAGCTGAAAAAGAACGAGTTCCAGGGAGAGCTCAGAATTTGTCAAACCTTTATGGCTAATAAGTAATTCATGAGAAAGTCACAAATAGGGAACAAGCTCTCCTTCCAATATGGCAACAGTGGAGCTTCTTTATTCTGGAATCTAACTTTGTGTTTTAAAAAAAATGAAAAGTAGCCTGTAAGAAGCTTGGCTGACAGGGAGGAGATGGGCTGTGCAGAACCCTGATCTGGCTGGCTCCCTGTCCAGTCCTCTACACAGGCTGTGCGTGCTGCTGGTGCCAGCCTGTCTGTCACTTGTACTCCTTTGCAGTCCTCCCGACTTACCACTCGTGGCCTGGAGCACTGACTATTAATACAGACATCATTAGCAGCAGTTTTAACAAGCCTGGATACAGAGCTGGTTGGTGAGAGTTAAAAAGACTACTCGAATGAGCCTTGTCATTCTTAATGTATGAGACACTACTGACTTACAATTTGAATGTTTGTGCTCTATCCTTACTTTGCTTACTTTTCCTATGTGTGGGCAAAGCGAACTCTGTTGTGTATATGTGAGAACAATGACTGAATTAGACTTCTGACAACAGGGGCTGAAACAGAGCTGGCATCCTCTGTGGCATGCCCATGGCAGAGCCCAGACACAGCGTTATACCACTGAGGACAGATCTGCACGCCCTTTATCATCAGAGTAAAAGAAAAGAGTTGCTTGATGCTTAAGTGTCACAAAATGGGAATGTCTAGAAAGGCAAAAGAAATGCTATGTTTGTCTTTGTGTTTACAGTTAGCTCTGGTAAATAACTCTAAAATGATTTAAAAAATCAAAAGTTGATGCTAATTTTGAAAATGACTGTTTCATCATAATTCAGCGATAATGAATATGAGGTCTGACTTGATTCTCCATACTGATGCTAAATAGGCTCTTCCCACATGTGAGTCACACTAATGACTTCAGTGAAGTGCTACAGGACAAGAGGGCAAAGCCGCAGAATGAGATGCAGGGCCTCAGGGACCATTTGGGTAACCTCCTCACTTTCAGAAGAGAGTGGACCCAAAGGTTCCAGAGGGTCTAGCTGCAGGGCTGGGCTCCCTGCAGGGTGCACTGTCTCTGGCCTGCAGTCCACAAAGGTAGGCCCATGTGTTCATTCACGTGACAGTCTCCAACGTGAGTGTTCACGTGCATCGTCTTTTTATCCAGTCTATCCCGAAAAGGCAACTAAAGAAAGTATGGAAGTATCTTTATAAATAAATTTTTCTCTAAGTTCTTCACCACTCTCCTTTTGGGTCCCAGTCTTAGGCCTGACATGAACTCTCTTGCTTTCTCAGTTAAAGTATTTACCTTATATTTAATGTGCGTAAAGTTGCTGAGAAATAAAGTATTCCATTGGTTCAACTTAAAAAAAAAATGACCCCAGTTTAATCCTACCCTATACAAAAACTCTCAGATGGAAAAATGATTCTTTTATCGGGTATTTTTACTACTATAGGCAAGACATTTCATCATAGGCTTCCAAATGCTTAGACATTTGGGTAGCCAGGTGTAGTGGGGCAGACCTATAATCCCAGCACTTGGGAGGCTATGGCAAGTTCACAGCCAGCCTGGGCTACACAGTGTGTTCAAGGACAGGCTGAACTACATAATAAGACCCTGTCTTAAAATATATTTTTTTTTTTTGGTAACAGGAGATAAATGTGGATTAGGACATACAGTAGTCCCTTTTCTGTAAATATAGCAATATACAGAGGTCTGGGGTTTTTTTAAAAAAAAGATTAAAATTCAAACACATGGCACTAGCTCTTCTGAGGGCTCCCGTGGCTGCATCAGATCATGGCAGAAGGTATTGTGTGGGAGCATAAATGGACTGAGAATGAACAATTCTCAGTAATGAGAACGAACAATTTATAAAAACACTGAAAAATACTGATGATTCTCACAAGTATAATGTTGAGTGAAAGAAAACAGGCACTATAGAAAGCATATTTCACGATTTGTTCTCATAAAATGTAGTGAAAAATTAACCTGTGGTATTTGAATCAGGACAAAGTGTTTAATTGGTTTGATATGCATAGTGCCTTCCCCACTGTGTACTAAAAAGTCGTGCTCTTCAGGGTGACACTACTGGGAGATAGTGGGACCTTTGAGAGGTGGGGCCTACTGGCAGGTCCTTGGTCATTGAAACTGTGCCCTTGAAGGCAATTGTAGAACTCCAGTATTTCAGTCTCTTCCTTCTTTCTGGCTTGTGATATGTGCTCTGACAGGCCACACCATGACCATCTGGTATACTTACCAGAGGCCTAAAGAAATGGGACTGCCCAAACTGAGTGTGGCAACACTCACCTGTATTCTCAGTTATTTGAGAGTTTGAGACAGGAGTATGGCAGGTTTGAGGCTAGCCTGGGCAACTTAGCAAGTACCTGTCTCAAAATAAAAAATAAAGTGAAGGAAGGGGAGGAGGGGAGAAAAGGAAGGAGGGAAAAGAGGAAGGGAGGAAGGGAAAGAGAGAGAAATAGAGCAAGCAGTCCACTCTTGGACTGGGGCCCTCCAGAACAGTGAGCTAAAGAAACATTTTATCATAAGTTAATTGCATCAAGTATTTTGTTGCAGTAATGCAAATCTGACAAATACAAGTATATTTTGGGAAGGAGGAAATGCCTGGAGCAGGACTAAGAGTGAATTCTAAGGTCATGGTAATACAGTGATTTGTTTCTGGATCTTTGTGCTTGCTTACACGGAAAGGCATGCATGTATGTATGTTGAGCCTATGAAAATTCACTGAACTGTATACCTGTGTGATTTGTGCTTTTTGTATGTAAGCCATCTATGGTTTAAGTACCTCCCTCAAAGCTCATGTGCTGAAGGCTTAATTCCCAGTGTCACAGTGTTGAGAGGTAAGACTTTCAAGAGGGATTGGGCTCTGCCTTTGTGAGTGGATTAATGCTCTTTTGGCAGGATACGGATTAGTTATCCCTGGAGCAGGTTCTTCACAAAAGGATGAGTAAGGCTTCCCCAACCTTTCTTGCATGCTCTTTTGCCTTTTCACCACGGGATGACATAGCAAGAAGACCCTCGCCAAATGTGGACCCCTCCAACTTGGACTTACAGCCTCAAGTGTAATAAATCTGTTTTTAAATAATTTACTTGAGTTCATGTATTCTGTGATAGCAACACAGAAACGGTTCGAGACAGAGATCATTTGTTTACAAAGTTATTTTTTAAAAAAATCTGTCACTGACCTCATGGAGAAGCTGGACTTTGGCTCAGTCTCATTCACTCTGATGTCACCAACCATCACCAAACAACTTGCACGCCCACAAGTGGGAGGGGTGAGAGAGCAAATCCTCCACAGCTCTCGAG